TTTTGTTTTGTCTTGTTTTAAGTAGTTTTAAAGTTTTTCTCAGTATTTCATTTAATCATAGTTGGCTCATTAATTTGAGCAGCTTGGCTGCATGTCGGTAGTTAAGAGGTTATTTATGGGAAAATTCAGCTGTAAAGTTGGACTACTTTGTTAGTAAATTCTCAGACTAAATTGAAAATAAACGTCTGAGGCCATTCCTTGTATGTGACGAGTTCTTCTGCTGGTATTTATGTTATATTAAATTATTATGGGCTGCGTGGCCAAGGTCTCAATATGGAGTAGAAGTGTTTTGAGGAAGCTCCGACTCAACTTCACCATTATTTCACCCTAAATAATACTTAAATTTCTGCTTAGCATATTTGTAGTGTGCCATCGTATTATGAACAAGATGACGAAGCCCAAAGGTAATAAGAAAGACAAAGGCTCAGGGGATGAGACCCTAGACGACCAGACCAAACTAGCAGGCGTCAAGGTGGCTAATGCCAACACGAGCCCCACGTGCTGTCCGCGTCCATCCGCCACCGATGAGGACGTCCTAGCAGCCATAAGCAAGCTTAGCAGCACGGTCGACATGAGGTTTGTGGAGCTCAATGGATCAATTTCCAGTCTCAAAGCGGCGCTTTCCGATATAAGTGACCGTGTGACATCAACCGAGGCCGCAGTCGTGTCACGGATAGACGGATTTCGGAGCTGGAGAAGCAACATGATAGCCTAGCTGTGCAATGCTCTCAGCAGCAAGCTAAGCTGGAGGATTTGGAGGCAGAATATCCGTATTGTGGGCATACAAGAGAAAGCGGAAAATGATAGACCGACGGACTTTGTCTGCAAACTGCTGCGAGAAGACAACTTTGATCGGCCAATGGAGGTGGATCGGGCACACCGGAGCCTGACGCAGGCTAAAGACGGGAAGGCGAGAGCCATCATTGTCAGGCTGCATTATTTTCAAGAGAAGGAGCGGGTGCTACGGTTGGCGAGGGAGAAGGGTCCTCTGCAGTACGACGGTCGCTTGGTGTTCATCTTTCCCGACCTCACCTCAGCTGTAATGAAGAAACGCCAGACGTTCCAAGCCATCAGGGAGCAATGCAGGGCCAAGGGGACTCATTATGGATTCGGATACCCTGCGCAGTTCCTGGTTACTGTGAATAATAACACTGCTACGTTCGACACTCCAGTGGAAGCCGATAAATTCCTGAGCCGGGAGATCGAGGACTGGCAGTCTGGGACTAAATGAAGCAGGTGGTCAGACTACCCTTCTGTTGTTATGCTTAAAATTTAGAGAAAGTGAGCAATTAAGGATTCTGTCATTGGGTGAGAAATGTCATTTATCTATTTTGATATGTTCATTATGTAGGGTTGAGCGGCTACTCTAGTTGGAAAGATGGGGAGCTGTGTTGCTTGTCTGCCCCCTGGTGGACGGCTAATTCTAGCTTTAAGTTGGGGTATGGAGACACCGCTCCGGGTTCCGTTCAGTTATGTTTGGTAGCAGGGAGGGTTAGTCATGTTACTGGGGGGGCTGTTTCTTGCACATCGGCGTGTTCTGATTATCTTATAATCATCTTCATAGTCATGCAACAGTTACTAAAATGCACACAAATTAATGACAACTGATCCAGATAAACATACTAAGTTAATTTGATTAGCTGGAATGTCCGCGGGATAAATAGTCCTCTAAAAAGAGGTAAAGTTTATGCACACCTGCGTTTTCTCCAGGAAACCCATATTAAGAAAACAGCTGCTAAAGTTGTTAGCCGCTCGTGGGCCTCTCATGTATACCAGTCAAATTTCAGCACAAAAACTAGAGGGGTTGCAATTTTGTTTAAAAAACACACATCGTTCATTCATAAGCAGACAATTTCAGATCAAAGGGGAAGATACGTGATTGTAAGTGGGCTGCTAAATACTGCACTAGTGACACTAAAAAATATATACGGGCCTAATTTTGATGATCCCATCTTTTTCAAGACCTTTTTAATGTAGCGCCGGATTGGGTGGGCTCTAATTTAATTATTGGTGGGGACTTAAACCTAATCCTGGACCCAGATTTAGATAGACAACGCCCTCAGTCCAGTTCAATCAAGAGTGGCGAGTCCCTTAAAAATCTATTACAATCCCGTAATTTGGTTGGCATTTGGAAACTACTATATACGTTTCTAAATTACTGGTACAAGTCAAGTAAAGATACTTTGAGTTAGGTGATAAACCCCATAAGCTATTAGCCGTCAGCTACAATCACAGGCCTCTAGAGCCAAACATCGCATTAAGCTTGAAGATGGGACCTTACTCACAGATCCGGATAAAATCAACAACCGCTTTGCAGACTTCTATGCTAGTGTTTATCAGTCACAGGGAAAACTAGACTTTGGAAATATGGAAAGTTTTTTTGAAAATTTGAATTTGCCAAAACTACCGTCGGATTCAATTGAAGCACTGGAAGCCAGTATAACTTTACAGGAAATTTAATCTGTCATCTTGACCCTTCCCAACAACAAAGCGCCTGGTCCTGACGGCTTTAGTGTCGAGTTCTTCAAAATATTCAGCCCCAAATGATCACCTCTACTTTACGTATGTTAAACCACTCTAAGCAAGCGTCAAGACTGCCTCCCACTTTAAACTGAGCCAATATTTGGCTCATTCCCCAACCCGGCCGAGATCCAGAGGTTGTTTCATCCTATCACCCAATTTCATTGTTACCTCTAGAAACAAAAATCCTTTGGAAAACTGTAGCCAATAGACTCAAAAAAATACATAGGTTTAATCATCCACCCGGGTCAGACTGGCTTTATGCCAGGTAGGCATATGTTTTTTAATCTGAGTCATCTTTAAAAAGCATGGGAGGGCGAGTTAGAGCAGCAGGTATCTGAGGAAGCATACAAGACTGTTCAGTCAATGCCAGACAATCTCATCCAGTTCAAAACAATACATGGACTCCATTACTCCAGGGAGAAGCTGAGCACTTTCTTTACAAGCGTGTCTCCAATTTGTAATCGTTGTCAGGCTGCTGTTATTACTTGACACACTCCTTCTGCTTCTGTGTTCAGCTTCACTCATTATGGAAGAAAATTTTTCACTTTTTTCCCCTCCAACAGCTTCTGGAAAACAATGGGACCCAGAACCACTTATTGCCATCGTTGGGGACTTCATTGCTGTGCGACCAGCCACTAAAGATGAGAAAATGGCTGTTTTGTTTGGTACGGCGATTGCTATAAGGTTGATTTTGAGATTTTGGAAGAAGGACTCTGTGCCCACATTTGATCTGTGGTTGGGGGAACTAGCAAATACTCTGCATCTGGAAAGACTGAGATATTGCAATGAAGATGGTCAGTGTGTTTGAGAAATATGGGACCTTGTACTAAAATTCCTTCAATGAAAGACTGTTGATGACAGACCCGCCATTGTTTAGCAGCTTGTGTAACTGTCATGTTTTTGTTTTTTGTATGCTTGTGGAATGATTTGGATCAATTGGTGGTGTATTTATCATGTTGTCTTGACTGTGTGTTCTCTGATGTGCCGATGTGGTGTGTGTGGGGGATGGGTGGGAATTTGATCTGTTACGTTAATATATGCATGTCAATTTGGAAAAAACTCAAAATAAATATTAAAAACAAAAAATTATTATGGGCTTACCTGGTTTTGCAATTGGAGGTAAAATTGGCCAGACTTGGAGTTTTTTCCTCAGAGCCCAACTGAAAAGCTAACAGCAGCAGGCCGCTAACAGCAGCAGGCCGCTAACATCCGAGATGTGGTAAAAACTGAGTAACCAGCAAACATCAGAGGACAGAAAGCAGATCCCAGCTGCTGCAGAGGAGAAGCATGTTCAGAGTTTTAATAAACCAAGGCTTTTCAAAGTGTGGAGCGCCCCCTGGAGGCTGGCAGAGCTCGTCAGTTGGGCTCTGAGGAAAAAACTCAAACAAGTAAAGTAACAGAGACCATCTAGCCAACTTTACCACGTCTATGTCAGACAGAAAGGAAAGATTTTCACCACCTAAAGCTGCAGTGAGGAAGGAAACAGAAGGCCTGATCTGAAAATAGTTCAAGTACTTGTGCAAAGAATTAGTGGTTAAAGGAGCCAAAGTGGTGCAGACGGCCCTGTGTAAAAAAAACATTACATATGCTGCTGGCTGTCGTCATGGAGAGTCAGAGCAGAAAGATGAAGGTGAAAGTCATGGTGCTGCTGGAGGTATAATAATAATAATAATAATACATTTACAATACAACAATAAAAACAATTGGCAATAAAAAAACAAAGAAAGTAAATAAAGCTGTAAACCACTGTAACTCCGTCCTTACGCCGCTACACGCTGTCCCACTCTGTCTGGCCAATTTTACCTCCAATTGCAAAACCAGGTAAGCCCATAAACATTTATTTTATTTAACTTATAAAAGCATAACAGACTTATGCTTCATAAAAGTAAAAATAAAATAACCAAGGAGTCAGCAACTTTTTCAACTCAAACATCAACAACAAAAAGTCCCTGAGTTACAAAAAAGATTTTATTTTAAATATGAACTCAATTAATGTTTTTTTTTACAGCAGGGTGCAAACAAATAAGTGAGTTTTGGTTAAATGTTGGATGTTTCCAGCAGCAGACATGAGCAGCTCTGGTGTTTCTCCTCAACCCGTAACTGACTGATTTCCATCAGCTGCCCAGATGAGTTCAGATCAAACAGAACCGGAGCAGGTCCAGCTGCTCCGAAACGTTGGAATATCAGCCAGACGTCTTTGCTTCGTGTCATTAAGTCTCTCTCTTTTTAAAAAACTTATTTCTCAATAGCATTTGGTCCCATTTATGTTTTTTTTCATTGTCATAGTTTGATTTTACGCATTTATTTTATGTTATTTAAATGTAATTTATACATTTAATTTTGATTCAAGGACCACTTTCTGTGTTTTATTTAATAAAAGAATGAATCTCCTTTTTAAACATTCAGGTTCATTAATGCAACAGAAACCCGTTTATATCGAGGTGAAGCAGAAGCCAGGTTGGATCAGCAAACATTACCTGCAGGCTCCGAGCTGAAGATCGAGCTCTTCCTCCTGCGATGTTGAATATTTCAGCAGTTAGTCTCTCTCTGATTGATTCTCTCTGAAGATGAAGATTAGCCGAAGATATTGTCACTGTAGACTCTGAAATATTCAGCTCACACGGCGAAACCGCCTTCTAGCCGACAAAAGCCACAATGAAGCCTGGAAGCTAACGCTGCTAACGCCTTGCTGGTAACTTCCGGCGGAAGTCTCACACGGAGATGTCACCCAGAAACAGGCAACGTGCTTTTAAGTTCCCCCTGCAACTACAAATATCAAATTTTGTCCAGATGCTACACTGAACAAACATGTAAAGCCCCATGTCAAATATAAGAGTTTTATGAACATTTGGGTTACGCAATTTATAGAGAAACTCAAAATACATTTTCAGTAATTACTGATCTTCATATCGGCATTAATAACATCGTGGTTCGGCCGTTTGTAGCGAATTTACAGTCCTTTAAGAAGGACCTCTGCAGCAAACAGGAAGGGGCGGGACGGACCGCTGTCAGTCTCATACCTTATTTGGAAATGGGACCATTGCTATCTGGAAGCGAAGGGGGCGCTATTTCCTATACTTCCGTTTTTATTTTCTTTTGAAATCTGTGATTATTTTCACCTTTAGGAAGGATTTTCACTCTCAGCATGTATCATAACTTCAATCTTTTATTTACGTAAGCGCAGCTCACAGTTTTTAGCAAATTCTGTAGTTTTCGGTGTACTTCTAAATCTGCTCCTTAGTCACATCTTTTCGGGCCTGCTACTGCCTCTAGTGGCCCGGGTGTGGTAGCACAACCAATCTAATTACATTACTAAATCAGAATAACACAAAGTCTTTATTATTTATTATTAATTCTGACATTACTGGCACAGTAAAAGATAAATTCCCTCACAAAACAACATACCTTTCCATTTTCTTAAGGAAGTAGAGCTAATTAAATGACATAAACAAAACCTGAAAGTGATTCCAGTTTCTCTTGATGGCCAACCTGTTGAAACTGGCAAATTTTAAATTCCTTGTGTCATTCCTGGACAGTCAGCTCAACTTTGCTGAAAACACAGACTATATCTTTAAGAACTGTTCTCAGAGACTCTATCTTTTAAGAAGACCCAGTGATCTTAGGGTGACCCAACTTGAGGTTGTATACAACCTCTAGTTGTACACGACTAGAAAAAGTTAAAACTCAAGTTTTAACTTTTCATCTTCTCGGCTGGTTTGGTCACATGAGCTGCAGATTAACAGACAATATTTTAAGAATACTTTGAATGGCAGGTATAACAGCAGGTAAATGGCGGTGACACCAAAAACATCTCTGTCTCAACTGTTTGCTGAAAGAACATGAAAGATGGGAGGAATATCTTAGCAGAGAGCGTCCATCCTCTTTATTCATCAGTTTGACCCTCTGAGCTCATGAAGGTGTTGCTGTGTTCCTCTGGCAATAAGAACATTTATTGATGGTGCAATAATTATTCTTAACCAAACTAAATGATAACATTTACCTACAGCGTGCCAAGTGTTTTACTCTATTCACAAATTGTTGATAATCAATCAATCAATCAATCAATCAATCAATCAATCAATCAATCAATCAATCAATCAATCAATCAATCAATCAGTCAATCAGTCAATCAATCATATCTTTATTCCAGACACTAAAAAGGTCCATAGAAAAAAGGTAAAAACAAGCAAAATAAAAGAAAACTAAAAATAAACATGACATGATATTATTCACCGAGTCACAAATAAATGATGACGCCAATGATTCCATCTTCTTGAAGAGAATCTCACAGCACTAAAAGCAGGATTTACTAAAATTGCAATTGTATTATTGCATGACACAGATAATCTACACATGCATTTATACATAATATTCCTGAGCTCAGCTGCATATGTGGGAACAGCATTATGTACAAACTTATGGCTAGCACTGCTCCATCTAGGCACTTTGAGTAGGAGCCTCATGCCATCATTGTATGCCATATTTTTGTTCCCAGGGTTTAAAAACCCAAGATGCTTCCTGATTTCTGTGATTTTATCACCAGGAGCTACGATAAGCGTCTCGGTCCTGCCTGAGGTGGTTGTCATTCAGACAGATTTTAGTGCCAGACAGGCAGTTACTGAGTTCAGTCAATTTATACAATTCAGAGG